TTGTCTTTTTGCTTTATTTATGAGTATTTTACCTTCCCCCTCAATGATGATAATGCTATAGTTATAAATTCCATAGAATTTCAGAGAAGGGTCAGGCTCGTATCAATAACCAGGAAAAGCTGCCAGAAGCTAAAGTGCTGGAAGTCACTAGAATTTCATAGAATATAGATTTTTTAAAAAAAATCAGAGGAATCTCTGGAGAGACTTAACTTCACTCCAAATTTTTCCAGATGATGTATTGAGTCTTCAGAAGTAGTGAGGGAGTGGGGTTTGGGATGGGATGAGGCAAAGGGAAACCTAAAAGCCAGGCCATAAAAGGAAGGAAGATGTAAGACCCATTGGAGGATGGAGAGATCAGCTGCATTGTCAGTCAGAAGATTTATTTTAACCTTGGGCAAAAGTGAATTATTTTAACAAAATAAACTGAAATATTAATAGGAATAAGGTTGTAAAACATTTAGATATGGCTCATGTTAGGAAAAATGTGTGAGATAAAACACGTTGAGGAATGAGGACAGAGAAGAATTGTAAATTACTGTGTTAAAATTCATGGGAGGCCTCTGTTTTGGCCTGAGCTCCTGCACTGGACTCCAACAGACCAGACCAAATTGGAATGGAGTTATGGTGCTTGGTGCCATGTAATCGAAATGAACTTGAAATGGGCCAGTTTTCCCCAAAAAAGGAGATTTACAACAACCAATCAGAAGGGGCCTGGTTTACCTGAGCTAGAATGATAAGAAGTCCTCTTTGTCTTAACTCTAAAGGAAAGTAACTTTGAAATGACCAATTTGCTTTTTGTCCTTATTTCTGCTTTCTTTAGGCCTTCTCTGCCTATAAAGCCTACCTCCTCTGCTCAGCTAATCGGAACAATTCTATTTTATAAAATGAGATGCTGTCTGATTCTAGAATTGCTAGTAAAAGTCAATTTGATCTTTAAACTAAATTTGTTGTAATTTTGTTTTTTGACACTTGTAAATGAGACCTTTCTGGTTTAAACTTAGAAGACAAAAGGAAACCGTTTCTTCCTTTTTCCTTCACTCTTCTTTCTTTTTCCCTCTTCCCCCCCCCCTCCAGTCTCCCTTCCTCCCTTCCTTTGTCTCTCTCTTACCTCCCCACCCAGCTTTGTCCCTCTCTCTGGGTCTCTTGGAAACTCAAGCACTGAAACATCATTGGAGCTCAGTGACATGGGGCTCTTCTCAACTGTTGCATCCCTAATGTCTCAAGTCTGTTTTTGTTGTTATAAAGGAATACCTAAGGCTGGGTAACTTATAAGTCAAAGAGGTTTATTTGGCTAACAGTTTTGTAGGCTGTACAAGAAGCATGGTGTCAGCATCTGCTTCTGGTGAGGGCTTCAGGCTGCTTCTACTCATGGTGCAAGGCAAAGGGGATCACACAGCAAGGAAGGAAGCTGAGCTGGGGGAATGGGATAGAGGTTCCAGACTCTTTTTAACAGCCATATCTCATGGGAACAGCTGATGCCATCCTCATTACGGGGAGGATGGCACCAAGCTGTTCATGAGGCATCTACCCCCATGACCCAAACATCTCTCATTAGGCCCCCCCTCCAACACTGGGGACCGAAGTTCAACACAAGGTCTGGAGGGTTAAATATCCAAACTATAGCACCTAACCATCAGGACCACAACATCCAGGAAATTTCTCTGCCATATTGTGGGTGTGCTTCTTCCAGACAGAGGCTGGGGACAGATAGTGGCACTCTCCCCTCTGTTTTGCAGTCTATGGATATTCCTATCTTCCTCCCAATCACACACCTGGGTAAAGTGCTATCCCAGTCAGCACTTCCTTTCCATCAGAGAGGAACAAAAGTACAATAATAAAAATGAGGAATTCGAATTTTAAATTTCATGGGGAAGTGATCAGAAGTGTGAATAGTGTCAATGGAACACATAGTAATATTGCTTACAAAAGCTCAAAAAAAAAAAAAGCAGAAATAAGCTTTGTCATTAAAGTAAAGGAACTGTAATTTTATTTTGGAGCTTCCTCTGCCTCTCATTTCTTTAGACTTTTTAAGCAAATAACTAAAATTAAGAATTGGTTAGCTTTGCCCTTTCAGCCCCACCATTACTGTCTTCCCAATGTTATTACTTTTGTCATTGTTATAATAATGCAGGGATCAATCAAACAGAATCTAAACTCTTATGTTTGCTCTCAGCCTTTTCAAGCTCTAGAATGAATGTTAGAATAATTTAATCCCTTGGAACAAGCATGCTATTGATATTTTGATTAGTCAGTTTTGATGATGCAGAGTACCTAGAGAATTACATTCTATTTCATGGTGGAAAATGGAAGTGCTTTCTTCTAATCAGATGTATAAGGACTCTTGAGATATGGTGAAGTTTTAAAAACTGGAAAAATAGTAAAAATGTAAAAAAAAATTTTTTTCTTCAACCTCTCAAAAAGGTTTTATTTTCTCTTAAAGGCAGCTGGATCAGCTCTGGAAATAACTTTTCCAAAATAAAGAGGGAATTTCCTTTGACTGGGTTAGATGTTTAAAAAAAAAATTGTGTAGTTAATGGAATTACCCATGTGAGCCAAGCCATCAGCAAGACTTTCTAGCTCCAAAATCTATGTCAAATCAGACACTCACCTCTCTCTGGCTCTGAGGCCACCACCTTAGTCCAGCTTTCCTCTGAAGAAGCTGTGTTGGGTCTCCTTGCCCTGACTCATGCCCCTCTCCCATCTGCTCTCAAATCAGAGCCAGTGTCATTTTCTTACAGTGTAAATGACATTACATCCCTCCCACATCACTTAGAGTTCAGCAAAGAGAGAAGTTCTGATCCTGCTCTGCTACAGCTAGAAGAAATGTGTTCCCTTCACCCCAAGGACTCCACTGTCCTTAACCATCTGTCACTGTCTCTCCAGTACTCTGCTGTTTTTTTAAAAAAAAATACCTTATCACAATTCATATATATTTTAAATATTTTGCTTGGTTTTTTTTTTTCTCATCTTTCCTACCAGATCATATGGCTAATAAATTAAGGGATGTTTCTATTTCTGTCTCATTTGTCTTCATTTTCTAGCATCAAGCCCAATGACTAGTACCTGGTAGGCTTTTTTTCCTTACCACTTTTTAAATAAAAATTTAAAACATATAGTAAAAGAATTTTATGATGAACATCTGAATACCTACCACCCTAGTTTCTATTTTCTTCATTCCATATTTAATAATCACTCCATTCTTCTATTTGTCCATCAATACATGGATGACTTTTATTAAATTTGTTGAATGAATGAAGGGGTTCTACTCTTGTATTCCATAGCCAGAAGCAGACTCTTCTGAGGTTGGCCCAACACAGACATTGGCCTTCCTTGGGCACAGGGTCTGAGAAACTACGTGATATTCTCCATGGTGTCTATCTGCTAAGCCCTGTACTAGGACTAGATACTGATGATTCAGAAATAAAGACAGATCTTCTTTATCTCCAGTAAATATTGGTTAGTGTTATCTTGATGTTAAAACTGACTGACTTCTTGGCATTTTCTGTTTTTGTTGTACAAGCAGATAAATGCAATTGTTGACTTGGCCAACACCAGGGAAAGAACATTTTATGGTGTTGGCAGATGTGGCAGATGCAAGCCCATTGGAACCACGGAACCTTTGGCTTTTCTTGTTTTTAAAGTTCTGTATACACCAGCGGTCCCCAGCCTCTTTGGCACCAGGACTGGTTTCATGGAAGACAATTTTTCAACAGACTAAGGGGGTGAGGGGAGGTGGAGCTTAGGCTATGGGGAGCAGCTATAAATGTAAATGAAGCTTCGCTCACTCCTGCTGTGGAGCCACAGTTCCTAAGTTTCATGGAAAACAATTTTTCCACGGACAGGAGAGGGGCAGGGCGGGCTGCAGAGCTCTGGGCCCAATCCTTAACAGGCCACACACCGATACCGGTTCCGGTGCCTGGCCTGAGGGCTGGGGACCGTAGGTATACACCATTCAAATAGCCAAGTTAATAGAAACAAAAGAAAAATGCACAAAAAGTGTTTCTAACCTAGACTAACTGTGGTCCAGATAAAAACATCTCTGCCAAGTCTAGAACATCAACAGAGCAGGCAGGGCAGAAAGAGCTTACTCTTCTTTCCTATTGCCTGCGGATAGGGTTTTTCCTCCAAAACTATATTGGATTATGATTTTGGACCCTGTATTTATTATTTCAATTGCCCAGAGGAAACAACTTCGAAGTGACATCCTAGGGCAGTGCTGTGGAGTAATGCTTTATTAAGCTTGCTGTGTCTATTCATGTTTATTTTAACTCTCTTATTTTTAGAAAGAGGATTTTGAGAAGGTCAATGCAGTGTCTTTGTGATTGAATTCCAAGAGTACTTAACAGGGGTCCATGTGTATAAGGGTGTTGAATCATTGTGAACTGGGAATGCATCCAAGTTGATGCTTAACTGAGAATCCTCTGTTAAATATTTAAAAGTGAAAGCAATTTTTCAACGTAGGCATGTGAGCCAGGGAAGCATAGAAATGGGTGACCACAGCATTTCAGGTACCACAGCAAAGGTAGCAGCTGGGACCTGGGCTTATTGTTCCTCAACCCTTGACTGACTCCTTTGCCTTTACCTCTTTTGTTTGATGGGGTTCTGCTTTCTAGCATCTTGATGACCTGAATTCCATCAGCTTTCTTGTGCTCTTGTCCTCCCCTGGGCTTTCATGTCCCAAGTATTTGCAAGGCCCAGTGTTGTCCTGACCTGAATCTACATCCTTGCTATGCTGCTAGTAGCTAACTGTCCTTGAACAAGAAATGCAACTTTTCCAAGTTCCAGGCTCCTTACCTATAAGTGGGAGACTTTAATATCTACTTCAACATGTAACATGTGTCCATCATGGAGAAGTCCCTTGATAAATGTTAATTTTATCCTACCATTTTTAGATCAGTTGCCACATTGGATTGGCCAGAAATGATAAATTTGGGAAGAAATATGACATACCACCTAGATATTTCATGCAATATGAGAAAAAATAAATCTGGAAGTAGGTGTTTTATTTATAAAATTAAACTTAATTTTATTTTGCAAAAATCAACAAATACATGTTCAGATCTGGTTTCCCTTCAAAACGTATGTCTGTTTGTTTGTTAACAAACATGCAAGTTAATTTGGCATGCCAAACATCTTTCTCTCCAGCTCTCCTTGGAAATTTTTTTCATAACACAAACAAGGGTGCAAAAATTGTCTAAAACCTATTTACATTTTACCCTCCTGAATTACTAACATTAATATTTATTGGGAGGAAAATAAAACTGCAAGGCTTGGTCTTTGGCATTCACATTTCATTCAGCAGTATAATTAAAAACTTACATTTGTTTTTATGATAAACACTTGAAGAAAATTTAATAAATCTTGTTTCTGCTTTGCAAAGGAGCCACTATATCAAAACATTTAACTAGAGCTGTTGAGTTCCTGCTGGTAGAATATTACTTCCAGCCTATTTATTAGCTTTTCTTCCTGCAGTCCAATACATGCATGTTTTTTTTTTCCCTCCACTAAATGAAAGCACAGAAAGAAAACCATTTCTTCTCTCTTTTACCCCCATCATGCAAGGCAAAGGCAACATCACAAGTCACAACATCTGAATTTACTTTGATTATATTTTTGTTTCTTACACTTAACATTATTTTGTATCTTAATACTTACTTGTTTATCTAAAATCAACATTGTCGATTTTAAACTGTTATAAAGCCAGACTTTAAGAGGCATTTTAAGAGGCATCAAAACAATTCATGAACCATGTATGAAAGGAAATAATTGTCTCCAGCCTATTCTTTTGCATTTGAAGTAAAAGAATTTTAGTTATTTTCAGTTTACTAGAAAATAAGACTTTAGGGGGTTCATATATTCACATCTTGTACCCATTGTAAACAAGGATAGGATACTGCTAACGGTAGCCTTTGAATAATTTTTTGTAAAATATATTCTTCAGTATACAATAGGCATCAAGGGAACACCTTAAATATGATTCTAGTAGGTCTCTTAAAAGCCTATTTTCCAAAAAAAATTTATATGAAATTGTCTTGATTAAAAAAATCTGAAGTCATAGATTTGTGTCGAATGAATATGGTATGTGAGGTAAAGTCTTGGTATTTTCTATGGTCTGATGTGCAATGAAGCATGTATAAAAGAAACTAAAGAGGCTCTATTTCAAACTCCAGGCAAGATATAAGAGTGCATAGAGAAGAGAGGGCTTTTCAGGTCAGATAGTGAAAGAAGACATAGTAGTCACCTAAATCAGTAAGTTTGTAAGCAACATATAAATACACAATGCCATTTCACAGAATGCAAATAAGATCAATTAGAAATTGTACTTTGATATCCGCATATTCTTGAAAAAAATTCCCAAGCCAGGCGAATGTGGATGGGGATGAAGACATAGGCAGTGTATATAACCATAGCAAAAATGGTTAGTAAGATGGTATTGAACATAGATTGCTCCCAGGGCTCCAAGACAGCACAGCAGCTAATGATTTGGTATTGATAGTAGAGCCAGGAGAAATATTCCTTCACACGCCGGAAATCCATGGTTGCTCCTTTAAGCTGCAGAAAGTTTTTCCTGTTAAAGAATGTAACAGATTAGAGGAAAAATAAAATAAGGAACCAAACATAGAATCTCTTTAAAGTTTCATGATCTCAGCATGTTAACAATCTTTCAAAGAATGTTAAAGATCATTGAATGGATTATTCATATGAATATTACATAGAAATAATATATAATATTTAATTATAGACATTAATAATTATAGAAACTGATAATAATATTGTCACTACTAATAATTATTACTAAAATTGACAATAATAATGTTATTAGTAATGATATATCTATTTAAAAATGGTAAAAATAGAAATGGTAGAAATAACTCTAGTGACAACAGTACCTATAAATTGAGGCTAGCTAACATTTTCCTTAGCCATGTATACAAAGAGGGATAAATGTGAATTTTCCTATCCCCTATAGCACATATTCTCACAGAAGATTTAAAAAGTAGTGTGCAGGAAAAAGAAAATATAGGGAGCCCTTTTCAGAAGGACCTGTTTGCAAGTTTGGCCCTTGGCTGGCATCTGAGACTTGGCTTTTGGAATGTTCTCTCCATTCTCTAACAGATAAGGATGACTCACTGTGCCTAGACTGCACAAGCAATGTAATTTATAGTGAACACCTACTGTATTCTGGTAGTCTGGAACTTTGGTAACTGCCAGTCAAAGGGTGCCCACTTGACCAGCCCCAATATAAACGTTGGGTGCCGAGTCTCTAGTGGGTTTCCCTGGGCAGAAACATTGCACATACAGTACTGCACTTTTTGCTGATAGAGAAAGGCAAACACTCAGTGTGTCTACTCTTGGAGCAGCAGAAGCCTGGACATGGATTTCTCCGGATTCTGCCTATGTCTTCTTTTCCTTGTTGATCCTGTTGTGTACATTTTTTGCTATAATATATCTTAGCTGTGAGGATAAATATATGTTGAGTCCTGTGAGTCTTTCTAGTGAATCACTGAACATGTGGGTTTTGGAGATTCCCAAAACAAATGGGAAGCTCAAAGCGTACTTTTGGGTGGTCATTTAGTTTTGTGGTACAGAGCTTTAAAAAACCATGTAAATGTTTTATTGTCCTTCGGATAGGAACACAGTCATAACCACATGTAAAACTTCCCAGAAAGAAGAGTACCTGTCATTTCTTAGAAAGATTCCTGGGTGGATCTTGCAGACTTTCATAGGCACAGTGGTGGGTATCTATGGACATACTGGCTCACTTTTGTGCTTCTTCTCCTTACGCCTAAGAATATGATGGTGCCACATGATCTGAGTCTGCTTTGATAAATTTTACTGCTCCAATCACAGTTAAAATTTTTTGAAGATCATTTCTGTCTTCTGACCTGAAAATGTTTCTTTTTTTTCTTTAATCCTCTTTTGAGTAAAAGTAAGATGCTTTTGTTCTATAAGGCTGTGGGCTGCTTAGGCTACAGGAAGATCCTCAGTGATCCTTGTATGCTGGGTCTCAGCGCAATGGTTGGCACAAAGATGGTCATCAGTAAATATTTGTTGAATGAATGAGTAAATGAGTGAATGATATGTAACCAACTTAGGAAATAATTATAGAGTACTCATAGTCCCAATGTAAGTAGGATACAGATAGCTATTATTGGTTTTTCATACAGCTTGGCTTTAATAAAAAGTAACTCATTTTGACAAAGATCATTTCCACAAACTTTTTTTGAAACAGAGTCTTCCTCTGCTGCCCATACTGGAGTGCAGAGGTGCAATCATTGCTCACCGTAGCCTCAAACTCCTGGGCTCAAATGATCCTCCTGCCTCGCCCTCCTGAGTAACTGGGACTGTAGGTGCATAGCCACCACCTATTTTTTCTTTTTGGTAGAGATGGGGTCTTACTATGTCACCCAGACTCATTTCCACAAAAACTTAAAATGAAAAGTCAGGCTGGGCGCGGTGGCTCACGCCTGTAATCCTAGCATTCTGGGAGGCCGAGGTGGGCGGACTGCTCGAGGTCAGGAGTTCGAAACCAGCCTGAGCAAGAGCGAGACCCTGTCTCTACTATAAATAGAAAGAAATTAATTGGCCAACTAATATATATAGAAAAAATTAGCCGGGCATGGTGGCGCATGCCTGTAGTCCCAGCTACTCGGGAGGCTGAGGCAGGAGGATTGCTTGAGCCCAGGAGTTTGAGGTTGCTGTGAGCTAGGCTGACGCCATGGCACTCACTCTAGCCTAGGCAACAAAGCGAGACTCTGTCTAAAAAATAAAATAAAATAAAATAAAATAAAATGAAATAAAATGAAAAGTCCATGTGTGCCCAGGACACAATGATCTGTAATAATGACCAGGATAATCCAAACAAATAGATAAATACAAAACAGAAGCATTTTTACTTTCTTAAGAAAAGTCAGACTCCCATCTTTCCTAGAAGCCAGAGTAAGAACTAAATAATTGGATTTAAATGCCTGGTCCTGGTAGGTGGGCTTCAGTGAGAAGTTAGCTCCAATGTTCTTTTTCTCTCTCTACGCTGGTTGCAGCGAAAGAACAAAGATGAAGAGGATTTGGCCTTGTAGATATGAGTGACAGAGGAGTGGATGCTAGTTTGTTTGTACTGTTATAACAAAATACCTGAGACTGGGCAATTTATAAATAATAGAAATTTATTCCACAGTTCTGGAGGCTGGGAAATTCAAGATCAAGGTGCTGGCAAGTTCAGTGTCTGGTGAGGGCCCCATCTCTGCTTCTAAGAAGGCACCTTGAATGCTGTGTCTTCACGTAGCAGAAGGGATGAAAGGGCAAAAAGATGGATGCTGTGTGTGGCCTCTTTTACAAGGGCCTTAAGTCCTCCAAAGGACAAGGGTAGTATATTAGGGGCCGTGGGAAATCTGGTCCAGCCTGAGCGTGGCTCTCAGGAAGAGATATTTGAGATAAGGCCAAAGGGAGGATTATGAGTCAAACAGATAAAATGTGTAGTGAGGTGGGGAGAATGGCCAGGACAAAGGGAAGAACTTGTGCAAGGTTGGAGGTGGGAAGAAGCAGGGTAGGTGGTTGAGGGAGCCAGGGATTAGAGCACAGCGAGCAGGGAGTGTGATAAAACTGGAGAGTGTGGCTGGCCAGAGTTAGGCCCCAGGAGCTGTAGGGCTGAGTTGGGTAGGTGATTGTGTCTTTAGCCTATGAGTCAGGGGGACTCCAGAGATTATTAACAGAGGAATGCTGTGGTGGGTTTGAGAGGAGGAGGCTTTAAGTTCTTATGGTCACATTGCATTCTAGAACCAAATTAAAATGATTTTGGATACCCATTGCTTCAGAAAATCTATACCTCTACTCTTCTCATGGATGTTTTTTTTTTTTTCAGAATCATCAGTATACTGGGAACCTGTTTAAAATATTCTTAAAACTCTTTTCATTTTTACAAATGAAAAAATATTGCTCATCTAGAAATATCGTTGACTTTTTCACTATATATTGTAGCTTTTAAAAATGCACTAATAAAGCTGGGTGTGGTGACGCATCTGTATTTCCAGCTACTCAGGAGGCTGAAGTGGACAGATCCCTCGAGCCCTGGATTTCAAGTCCAGCCTAGGCAACATAGTGAGACCACATCTCTTAAAAAAAATTAATCTCCTGGCCACTGCTTTCTCTTTTAAAATTAAATTTCTTGCTTGTGTAGCCCTAGCCCAACACTTTGATTACAGTCTTGTGAGAGATCCTGATCCAAAGGCATCCAGTTAAGCTATGTCCAGATTCCTGAGCCATCGAAACTTCAAGACAAATCAACATTCATTGTTTTAAACTGCTAAAAGTCAAGCAATCCATCAACCATTCAATCAAGGAAATAACAGATAACAAGCATAGCAACGTGCGTTACACCAAGGTGAATACATGGTAAGACGTTGGTCACAAATACTCTAAATCTGCAATGACTTGAAAGCTGGCCATTTTAAATATACTTTCACACTGCTAACAGCATCGGCAGTTGAGGTTTCTAAAAAAAAGGTTTCTTGCCAGTTTCTATAATCCCAGCCCTCTAAATAGCCAGCTCTGACATGGAAAAAGTGCTTTTATTGTCATATCTCACTTCAGTCTCATGAAGTCTGAGTCAGTTCACAAAAAGTAGTGGTTGGCCCTCTTTGATGCATTTTTCCCTTATTGATGAGAAGCAATTTTAAAGATGGTTTATTTTGTCATTTCTTATTATGAAAAGGTGAGAGAGAGAGAGAGAGGGAGTTGGTAAACCATCTGCTACACTCTATTGTTAGAATATGTACTATTTTTAGGTTCTAGATTTGCTTAGGTAATATGTTTCCTTGTGAGTCCATTTTCTTATACGCCATGAGACTACATGCAAGGTTTAGAAAAAACACTTTAGGCAATTTGGTGAGAAGTATGGGTAGGGGAATTCATTCATTCACTGAACAAATGAGTCCTGCTATGTGGCTCCTTCTGAATAGTAATGGCTTGGGAAGGACTCTATCCCCCCAAAGCAATTCAGGCATTGGGTGCTTTTCTAGGCAACAGCAAAGTGGACCACGAAACAAACATGCGGTGACTGAGGGGCCAAGAATGAACACTAAATGGGGGGAAAGTCTATGGAAAAATGATAAGAAGGAAGTTAGAAAAAGAGATTGAATTTGTCCAAAGAAGGTGGCAGAAATGCCATAAAATTAATTATCCACAGTATCCTAAGGCTAGATGACAGCAAACATCTTACACTCTTAAATTTTCACAATGAAAGGTGAAATTAATTTACCCACTACCTTAAAAAGATCTAATTATGTCTCAGCAAAACTAAACAAAGAACTTCAAATGTTTACTTTACTCAAGCACACCATAAATCTCCTGTTTTTAGCTATGTGCTTTTTAAAAGATGATTTCCCATATGTGAAAAAGATGGAGAGAGAGCAGGGTTTTTTTTAATTTTTGATTTTTTTCCTTTCAACTTGATGACTTTTAAAACCCTCTTAGATCTTTAATGAGGTTGTGTATGGTAGCACTGCCTAAGCAGGTTGTGGTAAGTCTTCAGGGGTACAGCGGCCTGGATGCAGTTTGACTTCAACATGCTGA